AAATGGCAAACTGCCATGACTTTGCCCCATGTAAAACTGATCATTTAGATAACTTGAAGTTATTAAGAAAATTGGATGGGTTTGTTGGTTGGTTGGTTTATTGGTGCTGGGTATTAAACCTAGGGCCTCCCAGGAATTAAACAAGTGCTGTAACACTGAGTTATGCCCCAGCCCCTGGAAATTGAATGAATTTTAAAATGGACATAAAAGAACTCTCTAGGCATACTTGTTTCACTGAGAATTCTATTAAATGTTTCACAAAGAATTAACCTCAGTTTTACATATTTTTTTTTTTCCAGGAAATGTGAGAGAGAACACTTCCTAACCCATTTGTGGCTAATGTTACCCTGATGTTAAAACCAAAGACAGTACCAAAAAGGACTGCTGTGTGGACTTCATTTGTTTGGGTGTTTTGTAGTACTGAGGCCAAAAAGGAAAACTTCAAACAGAAGACTTTCATGAGTATAGATGCAAAAGTTCTTTTTTGGAGGGGGGTGGTACTAGGAGTTGAAACCAGTGGTGCCTTATACTGAGCTACATTCCCAGACCTTTTTATTTTCAGGCAGGATCTTGCTAATTTACTGAGGGTTTCATTGAGTTGCTGAGTCTGACCTTGAACTTACAGTCCTCCTGCCTCATCCTCTCAAGTTGTTGGGATTTCAAATGTGAACCACCACATCCAGCTTAGATGCAGAAGTTCTTAACAAAGTATTTACAAATAGAATTCAATAAATAAAAAAGAGGTGTATAGGGCTTGATCTGTATTCAAAAAGTCAGTGTAAACCCACCTTATTTATAGGCTGAATAAGGGAGAAAAGTTCATAATTATATCAATTAATGCAGGAAAGCATTTGATAGATTCCAACACCTATTCATATTCATGTTCCTAGAAACTAGGAATGCTGAGTGACTTTCTCAACTGATAAAGACCATCTGTGCAAGGTCTACATCTAACACCATACTTAAAGATAGAACATTTTCTCCTTTAGATCATGAGGAAGACAAGTATGTCATCTCTAGCCACTAGTCTTCAACATAATGCTAGACTTTCCATTACAGAAAGAAAGAAAAAAATAAAAGGCATGTAAATAGAAAAGAAGAAATAGTGGCAGATGGCATAATTGTCTACATAGAAATTGTACAGGGAAGCTCACACACACAACCCTGGACTAGAAATAGGTTGAGTTCAAGAAGGTGGCAGGACAACAACATGGAAAAGTCTGTTATAGATAATTTTTTTTCCCTGATACTGGAGACAGCCCAGGATCTCTCATATTGTTAATACAAACTCTACTACTGAGCTACATCCCTAGCATATTTTATTTTGAGCTAGGTTCTCACTAAGTTGTTCAGGCTAGCCTTGAACTTACCAGCTTTCCCCCTTCAGCCTCCTGAGTATCTGGGATTACAGTCATATGGCAGTGAACACATAGAAATCAAAATTTGAAATATTGTACCTTTTATAATTAAAAAATGAAAAACTTGCTGGGTGTACTGGCACAAGCCTGAAATCCCAGGTACTAAGGAGGCTGAAGGAGGATGATCACAAGACCAGTCTGAGCAACATAGTAATAAATAGAGGAAAGAAAAGAATACTAACTTAAGTGTGAATTTAGCATAATTATGCAAGACTTTTCTAATCAAAACTAAAAGTGCTGCTCAAAGAAGAAAGCAAAGCAAATAAATGGAGAGACATGATAGATTCATGGATCAGGAGACCCAGCAGATGGCAGTTATCCAGGCTTAACACAATTGCTGACAAAATTCCAGCAAGATATTTTTTATATGTAGTAAAAGATTGTTCTAGGCTTTGTATGGAAAAGCAAAGGAACTAAAACAATTTTAAAAAGAATAAGTAAGAATAGTTTCTACCCAAGTTCAACATATTGTGTAGTTACAGTAATCAAAACTGGTATTGATAAGGGATAGATAAACATGAATCGATGGAACAAAATAGAGAGCCCCTAAATAGCTTCCTAAAGTATGGCTAATTTTTTGATTTTGGGGTGGATATTTGGGTTCAAACCCAGGAGTGCTCTACCATTGAGCTACATCCCCAGTGTTTTGTATTTGGAGACAGGGTCTTGCTGAGGTGCAGAGATTGGCCTTGAACTTAACTCTTGCCTCAGCCTCCCAAGTAACGAGAATTACAGGTGTGTGCCACCATGCCAGGCTGTGTGTGATTAATTGATTTTTCACATAGATAGTCCTTGAAATTTCATTTGAAGAAGGTGTACTAGAACAATTTGATAATCCATAAAGCAAAAACATGAATCTTAACCTAAACTCACACCATGCAGAAAAATCTGCTCAAAGTAGATCATAAATTTCAAGGTAAAACTTTTTTGAGATAACATAGGAGAGATCCTCAAGACCTAGGGCTTCTTGAAGGTTAAATTAATAGCTTTGACTGTCACAAAACACCCTATTGAACGGATGAAGAGAAAGACTCTACTTGGAGAAAATGAACCACATATCTGACAAAAGACTAAGACTCTTAATTCAACAGTATAAAAAAAATCCATTTGGAGAATGGACAAACTAAATAAACAAAACATTTTTTAAAAAAAGATATATACATGGTAAATAGCACATGGAAAAATATCCAGCATCACTACTCAGTAAGAAAATGTAAACTAAGATGAGATAATATTACATTCCTGTTAGAGTGACTGAAACGAAAAATAGTGGCAAACCAGAAGCTAGCAAGATCGTGGAGAAATTGGAAGTCTTTTATATGTTCTTGGAAAGTAAAATGATGTGGCCATTCAGGAAAAATAGTTTGTCCTAAATACGAAAAACTAAATATGCACTTACCATGTTTTCTGTTAGTTGTACTCCTAAGTACTTGTCCCATAAAATTGAAAACCTGAGTCCACATAAAAACTGTCAGAAGCCACATATTACATAATTCCATTTATGTAACATTCATGAGGTCACAAAATTATAGAGGTGAAAATAGATTAGAAGGTGTCAGGGAATAAAACATAAAGGTGACTGTAAAGGGGTAACATGAAGGAAATCTTTTGGGTAATGGAATAATTCTGAATCCATTGAGATGGTAGTTTTAAAGCTATTCATGTGATAAAATGGCATGGTATCAATGTAGATGCTTGCTTTTGATAGTCTATCATCCTTACATAAGATGAAGTGGTTAGATGAAACTAGAAGAGTACCCAAGGAAGTGTGTACTACCTATTATTTGTTTAAAAAAAAATTTTTTTTAATTACCCTTCAACCTGAATACAGCATAAGTACAAACATGTACTAGCCAAATGTTGCCTATTTGGAAATCTTTCAAGGATACTTACACCAGTATTTAACACTGTGTTTGAGCGTTCAGTAGGAAAGCATGATAAGTTGTTATACCTTGGTTTAACAAAATTGCTATGTTAACAAAAATAGCAAATTTTGCTTTTAAAAATGGCTTCTCTGTCCAGGCACATTCAAGAGATGTGAGGGAGCAAAGAACCCAACTGAACATCATAACACTTAGTTCAAGCTTCTCCTCTGTAGTTTTTCATCTACTCATAGGAATTTCATGGTTTTAAATAATAGATGCACAAAGAATGTGCACTCATATTTGAATATAAGTTCTAAATATAAGATAATGTGTGACAGCAACATCAAGTTTATGGTAAACAAACCTCTTTCTGACAGGTGATACACATGTGAGACTTTTTACTATTTGGGGTAATGCTATCTGTGTGTGTGAGAGAGAAAGACAGACTGGGAATTGAAGTCGGGAGTGCTACATTCTCAGCCCTTTTTACTTTTTATTTTGAGACAGGATCTCACTACATTGCTGAGACTGGCCTCAAACTTGGCCATCCTTTTGCCTCAGCCTCCCCAGTCACTGTAATTATAGGTACTTAGCTTAGTAAAGCCATTCTGATTGTACCTGAAGTATGGATTAGTTATGGTGCTATGCTTATTCTCACAAATATCAGTTCCAGAAAATTTTCATTGATAATGTAAGCATTTACTATGTGTGAAGTATAGTATTAAGACTTTATATTCATTATTTATTTGAAGTCTGCAAACCCCCTATGATTGCTATTCTTGCCTCTTTTACATTTGAAGAAATTGGGCATAAGTTAGGTGACTTGAGCAAGATCAATAGTGGGTTTATTGCTGGAATTTAAGACCAAAACATGAACTGCAGAACAAAAGTTGGCTGTATACACAAATGTGTTTCGCTCTCCGTGTGTGTTTGCTCACTTGATTCGCTCTTCTACCTTCATAGCAACTGATGGCTGAGAAACCCAGTTCACATGCCTACCTTGTTTAGGTCTCCTTCAGTACCAGTATCTGAGAATAACATTATGTTTTAGCATTTTCTGGTGATTTGTTTTTAGATTTAAAGTTTGGCCTTTCTTAGAAAACAGACATAAAATTATATAGGGTATAGATTATTCCAAGCAGCTGGAAGAAATGATTTTTGTTAAATTAATCATGTTTTTTCTGAATACCTTCAAGAAGTCTGGAAACAAAGGGTAATAGTGTTTGTTTCATCTGGAAACTGGGAGTAATGCTAGCAATGCAAAAGTCAAAATTTGTTCTCTAATAAATCATTTGACTTTATTATGTAATCTCTTGATTATGTCCTTGTAGTAATAAATGACTGGTAACAGGCAAATATGTTTGTTCTCTAATCTAAGTAAATCTAGCTTCTGGATTATCCATTTAGACAAGACAAATTCCTAAGATCATACTGCAAAACACACAATTAAAATGTTTAAAATTGTTTTAAATTGTTTAAAATTGTTTCCTGTCTCTTAGATATAGATGCAAAATTCTCATTTCCTCCAAAGTTGATTAAATGGTTTATATATGTTAATCTCATTTTATGGAAACTGTGTGATATTTTCCCCAAAATTATAAACATATTTATGATATTTTGTGAAGTCACATTAACATTTGTTAGTATACATGTAACTTAATATGTGCTGTTGAGGAGCTCTTGTAAATTGATCTAATTTCTTTTCTTCTCTTTATAGGAATATATCAAAGGAATCTGTGAACCTGAACTAGAAGAAAGAGAATATTATCCCAAGGCCATGCACTGCATTTTTGTTGGGGCACAGAGCCTGTTTCTGAAGAGCTTGATTCAGGATACTTGTGCTGACCTCTGTGTTCTTGATATTGGTCTTCTTGGCATCAGAGGAAGTGCTGAGGCTGTAGTTATGGCCAGGAGTCACATTCAGCAATTTGTAAAGCTCTTTGAGAATAATGAGAACCTACCCAGTACTCAGAAAGAATCAGAGGTGAAAAGGGAATTTAAACAATTTGTTGAAGCCCATGCAGATAATTTTACAATGGATTTGTTGATTTTGCCCACTTCCTTAAAAAAAGAACTTTTGACTCTCACACAAGGTGAGGAAAATCTATTTAAAACAGGAGATGATGATGTTATTGAAATTAGAGATGCTCAACATACAGAGTTTACACAGAATGCTGCCACAGGACTGAATATTTCCAGAGATGAAATTGTTCTGCAGGAAGATGAAAGAAATAAAGCTGGGACTCCTGTTTCTGAGCTTACAAAACAAATGGACACTGTCTTTTCTAGTTCACCAGATGTGCTTTTTGTTCCTGTAAATGGCCTAAGCCCAGATGAAGAGGCGCTTTCCAAAGAGAGAATTTGTCACAAAAGGAGATTTTCTGATTCTGAGGAAAGGCATACCAAGAAGCAATTTTCTTTAGAAAATGTTCAAGAAGGAGAACTTTTACACGATGATAAGACATCCTCTGGAAGTGTAATCATTGACCTATCTGATTCTTCTACTGATTCTGAAAATTTAAGTCCAGATGTAAAAGACACTACTGAGGAAATGGAATACAATATCCTCGTAAACTTTTTTAAAACCATGGGCTATTCTCAAGAAATTGTTGAAAAGGTCATTAGGGAGTTTGGGCCTTCTACTGAACCATTATTGCTCTTGGAGGAAATTGAAAAAGAAAATAAAAGGTTTCAAGAAAACAGAGAATTTTCACCTAGTACTACAGACACCAACAAAACCAAAAGTAAAGGTGTTTGTAGCAGCATTAATGAGCTCACAACAGATTCCACTCCAAAGAAAACACAGAGTCACACTCAGCAAAATACGGTAGAAAAATTTTCTCAGTTACCATTCAAAGTAGAAGGTAAGCCTTGTACCTCAAATTGCAAAATAAATACCTTCAGAACAGTGCCAATAGAACAGAAACGTGAAATCTGGGGTTCAAACCAGAACTATGTTTGTAATATAGACCTTGAAACTGATGGCCGTTTACCCTCTGCTCCTTCAAGTCCCAAAGACGTCAATTTTGTTTCAAGGGGAGCTTCAAGTCACCAGCCCAGAATTCCAGTTTTTCCTGAAAATGGTTTTCAACAGCAGGCAGAACCCTTGCTTTCAAATAATATGAAATCTGCCTGTGAAAAACGTCCAGGACATTGTAGCTCTCCTCAGTCTAAGCCAAATTGTCCACCCCTTTCTCCACCAATGCCGCTGCCGCAGCTATTACCTTCAGTTACTGATGCAAGATTGGCAGGACCTTCTGATCATATTGATTCCTCAGTTACAGGGGTTCAAAGGTTTCGAGATACTCTGAAAGTACCCTACAAGCTGGAATTAAAAAACGAACCAGGGAGAATGGACTTGAAGCATATTGTTATAGATGGAAGCAATGTTGCAATTACGTAAGTTCTCTTATCTGCAAATTATTTTATAGTTTTACATAGTACTCTAAGTAGTGTCTTGGAATTACATACATGTATATAGAAACCCTATGCATGTGTCTAGTGAATCTGAGGTGAATCTCCAATAACCAGTTGGAAAGGTTTCATCATTTCATCTTCTAGAGTCATGAACTTTACATTGCGCCCTCCTAAACTTACATTCCTATGGGCAGGAAATGTTAGAAAATTTACACTGTATTGCCTAATGATAATGCAGTCTAGAGAGATTTTTGTTATATTATCAGTCCTATGAGTGCCATTAGGTTCTGAATACAAGTGTGGAGCCAAAAAAAAAAAAAAAAAAAAAGTTTTTCTATTTATGCTAGAATATGCTTTGTCACTAACCAAAAGTGTACAGTGGTAATAGGTGTGATATATTTCTATTGCACTTTTGATAGTTTCCTTCTTAAGGAAATTAGTTTGAGCTTCATTATGTGCTGTGTTCTTCCTAAAAGTTTGTAATATTTGTTTTTATTTAAAACAAAAAAAAAAATGTGGAATGATCATGTCTATTTAGCCTGTCTTGGATCTCCTGTTAGGATTCTGGTTTTATTACTGTAAGATTAGGCTGTTTCTCCAAGGGACATTTTAGCATAGTGCCTAAGAAGAATATGAGGGTCAGAGTCTCCACCCCACCTTGGAGCTGTTTAATTTTGGTCAGGTCACTCAGTACTTCTGAGCTTTATTTGCTTCAAATCTGTTGTCTTTTCACCTGCCCTTAAGGACATCTTTATCATGCCATTTCAACTTGCTAGGTACTTTCTCTCCAGTGTAGTACTCTCACCCCATTATCATAAGCTTTAGTTAAAGTAAATTTGGAGAATTAATTTTAGCAAAGATTTGATTCATGAATTGGGCAGCATTCATAACCAGAAGTTCAGAGAGCTTCAGCTATCAGCAGGATTTACAAGCAGAAAAAGGGAAGTGATATACAGAAACAATTTTGATTGTAGCTCTACATTTGCCTTATTTGGGAATGGTGTGATGAGACAGTTGCCTTATGTGGACATGATCAGATCAGTTGGCAGCCTGTGGTTGGCTAAAATTCAGCTGCTGCGATTAACTGAGACTTGTCTATCACATGAATGTACTCTTCAGCTAGGTTGGGGTTTATTTTGTAGATCTGGGTTGTGGTTCACTACATGTATGAATTCAAAAATCAGGGGCACCTGGGGGCAAATTTATAGGGACCTTCAATGTCTAGCATTTTAGGAAGCCACCATTCAAGACATAGAACGTCTGCACATGGAATGAGGGAAAGGTTGCCAGATCTTAAATATACTTTTTATGCATTGTTGAATGTGTGACCCCTTATCCCAGGAGTTCTAAAAGTTCAATTAATGTCCTGAAATTTTAGAAATACCTATTGAAATTGAAAAATTAAAATTATTGACGTTTATTATATGTTTGTAATTTTTGTTTTATCTGTACTCTCTCCTACTGCCTTACACCCATGTTGTTTGTTTGCTTGTTTATTGCAATGCTTGCAAGGCGGGTGCTCTACTCCTGAGCTACTCTTCAGCCCTCATTTCATCCAGAAATATTTTCGTATTTGTTGTTGTTGCTCTTGTTCTGAATGTTTTCTGTAAAGGTTTTATTACACAAAGAGGGGAGAGGGGTGTAGTTCTTCTTGGCAGCTGTTTTTCTTAGGGTGGTGAGGTCACCTCCTCTCATTTCCTGTTAGTACAGATCTGTATCCCTGCCCTCTTCTTGATGAGCTTGAGGGCTCGTTTGCCCTTGGGCATCTTGAGAAGCTCCGAAGCACACTGCTCTTGTAGGGCATAGCCACACGCCTCTTTGGTCACGTCTCACACCAACTTGGTGTGTTTGGCAAAGTGTCCACTGTGGCAGCTTGTCTCTGCCTGCTCATGTTCTTGGTTGCCTTGTGGCTCAGGTTGAGGCCCACAGCCATGGAGTAGTGTGGATCTGTGGCTGTAAAAAACAGTGGGGAGAGCAGGTGTAGGTGAGGCTCAACTTGATTCCCACCTCCCAGAACCCTGCCGCCAGCTTCTTCAGGCTTGCTCATTGCATCCAGCCAATCCTCCAGCCCCCTGGCAAGCCTGGAGTCCCATGGAAGGTCTTTAGTATGTTGTTGTTGTTATTTTTTTTTTTTTTTTTAATATAAGGACTATTCTGCTTTTTATTTGTTTTACTTTTTCAGTCCTAGGAACCAAACCCAGGTCTTCATCCAAGCTAGACAAGAGCTCTACCACAAGCTAAATCTCCAAACCTTTTTTATTTTGAGACAGGTTTTTACTAAGTTGCCCAGGCTGGCTTCTAACTTTAAATCCTCATACCCTAAACTCCTGTAAAACTGGGATTACAAGTGAGCACCACAACATCAAGCTGCTTTTTATTTTATTTTTATTTATTCACTCATTTATTTTGGTACTGGGGATTGAATCCAGGGGCACTTTACCCTTGAGCTACATCCTCAGCCCTTTTTATTTTTGATTTTGAGACAGGGTTTTGTTAAGTTGCCAAGACTTGAATTTGCAGTTCTCCTGCCTCAGCCTCCCAAGTAGCTGGGATTACAGGCATGTACCACCTTGCCTGCTGCAGCTGCTTTTTATTTGTTTGAATGAATTGTTGGTGTTGTCTTTGCTGTCCAAAGAATAAAGGAAAATGCCAGCAGTTCATATATTAAAGTTTGAAGATTGGCCATAAAAATATGTAATATACTTGTCTTCCTCTCTAAATAATACTATTTATTGTCAGTTTTCATTGTTTTTTTTTTGGCAACTATTTTGGGGGGAACCCAGTAAATGACCCACAGCTGCCTAGCATTATCTAAATAAAAATCTAAAATGGAGTTTCAGGCTCAGCACCAGTTCCTCATTGTAAGGATTTCTTTCTTTCTTTTTTGGTTAGGATTTCTTGAGCCATGTGATGATAAAAATTTTAAGTCATCGCTGTGACTAATACTAACCCTTTTTTCAGAAACTTTTTTCTATATGTGGAAAGATTTCCCAAATTGATGTTCAAAAAAAGAATGCAAATTAACATAGACTAAGCAGTTGCTTCTAAAAACGTTCTGGAGGAATAAGTAGCCTGTTTCTCTAAGGGATCACTATTGGAATTTACGGTGGTACCATCTGATATTGTGTATCTGATCCCTCCTATTTTGTTCATAGTGCCCCCTCTCTGGTCATTGTGAAACCCCAAAACACTAGCACATATTTCCTATCATCCTTGAGCACAGTGCCAAATCTCCTTTGAAAACCACCAATCAGTGCAGTAAGGGAAACCTGCAAGCTTTCATTAATTCTCTCTGAAAACTGATTATTTTGGAAGAGTTTGAATTTTCTTTGAACTCATAAATGTCTTAATTTAAAAGCAATGCTTTTAAAAAAGGATGTGATGCCCATAGTTACACTTAGTTGGATATAGATTGATCTGAAAATATCAGTAATTAAAATTAACCCTTTTTATGGGAAACTCTTAATGGGCATTGGGTTTTATTTTTGAGGAAATATTTTAGAACTTGGTATAAGTGGTGGTGACACAGAATTGTTAATGCCATTGAATTGCTCACTTTCAAATGATTGTTTTCTATAATTGAATTTTTAATCAGATTTATCTCAGTAAATTAAGTTGGAAAAACATGACCATTCTAATGATCAATTTAGATCAAATTTTAACTGAGGCCATTAGTTAATTAAGTAAATATAATGATAATTAATGTCTGGTATTACATTTTTTAATGCAATTATCAGTTTTATGAGGCAAAAATGATCTGTAACTTATATAATGTGAAATAGTTCAAAAAGCTTGTCCAGGGCTATATACATGATATGTTTCTGCTCAGAGCAGCCCTGTCTCCTCTCACAGAAGTCGAGGTTAGAATTTTCAGGCTTGGCATCATTGGAGACTTAAGTTGTGAGTTTGTGTAACCACTGCTAAATAAACCATACTTATTTGACCTAACTAGTTGAGGAAGTAGTTTTTTTTTTTTTTTTTTTTTTAAAAAAAAAGGAAATTTAAGTCCTTAGGCAATAGGCTCTGTTGGTATAAACTCCACCTGAAAGGAGCTCAGGCCCACTCTTCCCTGGGTTTCTGCAAAGCCTTTGTTTAATTAGTTAGCCAGCATGATGTCTCCGGCCCATAAAAACCAGTGAGAAATTCCAAAATACCCTACTTAATGCTGCTGATTATGTATATCTTTACTAATTTTTCCCCCTTGTCACCATGAATGAGTCAAATGATGAGTCAGTGGAAACTGTTTGCGGTATATGGCTAGATATCACAGTAGTGGCAAGGAACATTTGGACTCTGTCAACCCGAAACTTCAGCATAAGAGCACCTGACTTGTCTGAGTTGATAATTTTCCATGTAGATGAAGCTTGCCCCTCAGTTGTTAGAACTATGCTTTTTTTTTTTAAGCCTTTTTTAATGCTCATCTTTCAATATTGGGTTTCAGGGTTATCTTTGTTAAGTGGGAGCTATAGAAGGAAATAACTCTTTCCTGGATAACTGAGAAAGAACTTTGCACTGTTTTCTGATACTCCCCTGTCTGCTTCTATGACTGTTGTGATTTTTTCTGTCTCCCATCTCTCATGCTTTGGACACACTTCCTTTGACTCTCTACTCTAATATGGAAAACAACCAAAAGACACAGTTTGTTTCCGGTGACATGGGATGGGAATTCAAATCTCCTTGAGAGCCTGTCTATCTGCCTTCCAAACAAAAGCGCTGTTCATTCTGCACTTGGAGCTGGGAACCCCATAGTTTTGGTCTTCCCCAAAGTATACTATGTATGTTAAATATATGCTTGTCTCTAGGTCAAGGCAAACCCTTGGTCTGGGCTTACCTTCCAACAATGAGCCTTTCCATGTCAGTGCAGAGAGGTTGAAAGGCAGTGAGGATTAAACACATCTGCTTAGTCCAGATGTTGGAATTGGAACTAGGAAAGATTCCTGATGGGGCTTTTGGTAATATTTTCAGGACAACAATTTATCTCCACTTGACATTTTTTCTTTTTTCCCTGTAGTTTTATTTTTGGGGCATATCTGTTATTTCTTTGCCATAATTTAGAAGCAGTATTCCTCCAGCTCTGGAGATTTTTCAGAGTAGCAAAAATGATTTGATCTTTTTACAAAAAACATCACTGGAAATCAGAGCTGATCTAATGTTTCCAAGAACTTTATCCCCTCCCCCCCCAGCTTGTGTTTGTGAGGGGTACAGGGCAACAGCATTCCTTTATCTGTATCCCCAACTTGACTCAGTGGAATGCTATTTCAATCCATTCAGTTTCTACAGTTGTCAAGCAGAATCATTATATGAAAAGCTGGTAGTATATACATTTCTGTCTATTGAAAAAGAGGTACTTTACAAGTTCCCCAACGCCCCCGGATTGGGGGTTGAACCCAGAGCCTCATGTATGCTAGGCAAGCCATCTACTGAGCTACATCCCCAACCCTTTTTTTAAACTTTTGAGAACAAGGTCTCACTAAATTGCCCAGGCTGGCCTCAAACTTGTGATTCTTCTGCCTCAACTTCCTGAACAGCTGAGATTACAGGCATGTGCTACTGCATCCACCTCTGTGAGGTTCCCTTTTGTGGGGGCTGGGGGTGTACTGGGGATTGAATTTAGGAGCACTTTACCACTTGAGCTATATCCCCAACTCTTTTTATTTTTAATCTTGAGACAGGATCTTACTACACTGCTGAGGTTGGCCTCAGATTTGGCAGTCTTTCTGCCTTAGCCTCCAGAGTCGAGTCACTGGGATTCCAGGCGCGCACCACCACCACTCCTAGCTTTTTAGTACATTTCCGTCAAGGGTTAGCCTTTTTAGGGATAAACATGGACCCTTTGGTTGTTGTATTTTAGATTTTTATGTTAGAGCTAAATAGCATTAACTACAGGCCTGTCCTTGCTAATAAAAAAGGGTGCCCTTTAAAAACAATACACGTTCTCCCATTCCCCACCACCACCACATGTCATGTTGCTGTATCCTTGCCATATTTGAATGCCTTTAGATAAGCCACCCACTCCTGAATTATTTTATTAAGAATGAGTTTGTTTACTTGCAATTGTGTTTGGATAAGAGCCTCTATCATCTGTATATATGATTCCCTGAAAAAGAGAGTAAACTCCAGCCTCTAAAAAGAGAAGTTTGTGAGCAACTCTTCTGAATCTCTCCCCACCTTAGCTGTTGGTTGAGTGTTCAGCCCATGCCTCCTCTCAGGTGTTAGAGGTGCAGTTGAAGTGACACCACCATGTGCAGTAATGGGAAGGGAAAAGGACTGACTGGCCAGGTGTGAGGAAGCCAGCGGGTGAGATCTAGCATATCCACCCTCTGGCAGGGTAACCCAGGCAGATCATGCTGTCCATCAGGGTTATCTTCTTATCTCTAATAGAGAATCTAAATTTTACTCCATCTCTGATTCTGTTGAAGAGCAGGGGAGGAAGTGAGAGGAGAGGAAGGATCTGATTGGGGACTTGTGTCTAGAGACAGCTTCATAGGAGGACTGGGATAGAGTAGGCAAGGAAGATTCAAGAGCATTGCACACAAAGCAAGCAACAAACAGGAAAGCTCAGCCAGGCCCAGTGGCATATGTCTGTAATCCCAGCGCTCAAGAGGCTGAGGCAAGAGGATTTCGAGTTCAAAGCCAGCCTCAGCAAAAGCCTCTAAATAAAATACAAAAGAGGGCTGGGGATGTGACTCAGTGACCAAGCGCCCCTAAGTTCAATTCCTGTTACCAAAAAACGGGGTGGGGGGGGGACTGGGATTGTGGCTCAGAGGCAGAGTACTTGCCTAAAAAAATACTAAAAGGGGGGGTGGGAGGAGGGAGCTCAGAGGTCAGGCATCAGGAGGAATGGAATAACAAGACCACCTGACCAGACCAAGAATATATCGGCTCATTGATTTGGGAGAATAACTTTGACCAGATCCCTTCTAACTAGTAAGATGAAGAGGGGACCCCCAAAGCCAAGCCAGGCAGGATTTATGTAGAAGGAAGCACTCTTCCTTCTCCTCTCCCTCTACCACGTAACTGCCTAAGAGTAAGACTTAAGTAGTTTTTCTTCTTTCAGAGTGTTACTAGATTGATTTGAGGGGATGCATTTTTTAAAAATCTTCTATGCCAAGGTTCACACACTGTTGGTGAAATCAGCCCCCTCCTGCTTTTGTGAATGTGGAACACAGCCACACTGGGCTCATTGACAACTATTTGCCTGTGGTTGCTTTCACACTTTTCTGGCAGAGTTGAGTGGTGAGACAGATCATATTGACCTTCACAGAAAAAAGTCTGTTGGCCTGTTCTTGTATGTTTACCCATTTTCCCTTTTTTCTGCTTCCTTCAAGGGTTCTATTAGTTTCATTTGATTCTTGCCCTTAAATTATTTCCCGTAAGTTCTGCCGTGTCTTAAAATCAAAAATATGACTGGGGATATAGCTCAGTGGTAAAGCATCTGGTTGAATTCCCACTATGTCCCCCACCCCCAAAAAAAAGTTGTTGTAAGTTTTAAATTGGGTAGATTTTACAGTTCTCCCAAAGGGGCTGGAGTCCAGCTGGTGATGGCAGCTCCTTGGTCATTGTGATAGTGATCATCATGTCACAATATCAAATCTTAAACTATTCTTCTGTCACAGGCAGGCATGGGATATAAACATCATAGCTACTAAACTAATTTCTGCTTTAGCAACAAATTTTAAGATTCTTAGAGATTCTTGGAGGCCAGTGACTAGGCAGAATTTTAAAATACTAAGGTTTTCCCCCTAGTAGGATGAACTCTTTTTTTTTGGGGGGGGGGGGAGTTGGGTGGCGATTACCAAGGATTCAACTCAGGGCACTCGACCACTGAGCCACATCCCCTGCCCTGTTTTGCATTTTATTTAGAGACAGGGTCTCACTTAGTTGCTTAGGGCCTTGCTAGGTTGCTGAGCCTGACTTTGAACTCGTGATCCCCAGATACTGGGTTAAAGGGGGAAAAAAAACTGCATTAACTAACAAATTTACCATGAAGCTCATTACCTTATACCAAAACAGCACATCCATTAAATCAACCAAAATACAAGGAAAACCATAAGACTATCATATTGAGAGACAGAACTCCTTCAGTGGAGTCTCTTTTGGTTTTGTGAAGTAGTAGGCTCTGCCACTGACCCCTTCCCCCATGGTAAAAGATCATTACAGGGAATTTTGTTCTTTTATTTATGAAGTTGACATTTTCAAACTCCCAAATTTTTCACTTACTCAAAAAGTGAGAGATAAGGCATGAATAAACTCATACCAAATTTTAAGTTATATAAGCTAGCTGCATTTTACATACCACAAAAATATATTGTGACAAACAGTTCACTAGCTTCAAACATACGCATAAGAAACACATGGATATACCTGTGTTTTTTTAACCAGTCTCGTGTCAATAAACAGCTAAGTGTTTGACATACACATTTCCATTAATGTATTAATGGCACAATTCTGTGAATATCAAATTCACAAATTATGTTTTGTATAATCGGGATTAGGAAACTGGAAAAAAAAAAGGAAAAGGAAAACAGGACTGAAACTACTACACTTCCTGCACTGGATCACATGTGAGAAGGAACGCTACCAGTAGTTCTCTCTTTGGGAATGGCTTTTTGAAAATTTAAAGTATTACTTTACCAGAAAGTTTTGCCTTTGGTGTGAAGAGCAGGTTAAATGATGTACTAACAATCTCTGAGGACCTAACAAATTATAGATTTTGTGCCTAGTTACTAATGTATGCTTTAAGAGGTTAATACTGGCTGTTCAACAGAATCTTCAGAAGATTCTACTTCTGTGGTTGCCATAGCTTTACATGTCTGTGAAATTTAAGATTCTTCATTACATTTTGAACATGTTAAACTGAAATAAATTTTTAAATAAATTTTTCTTACAGCCATGGTCTAAAAAAGTTTTTCTCTTGTCGTGGAATTGCAATTGCTGTTGAATATTTTTGGAAGCTTGGCAACCGAAACATTACTGTGTTTGTTCCTCAGTGGAGAACAAGGCGTGATCCTAATGTCACAGGTGAGTCAAACCAATTTTTCCAAATTTCTAATTAGAAATTTTTAATGAGTTGGCTTAGAATTGCAACACATAGTACTTAGAGCCATATGTTGTGGCAGGATCTTTTAACAACAAAATTCTAAGTCTCTTCCATCTAGTAAGATATCAGTTGAAGAGTACAACAGTATAAGAAGTAATTGAAGGAAAGATGCAAAAGTTCATATGATTATTTGAAAGATACGTTAGAATTTATTGTACATCACAAAAATTTTCTTTTGACATTCTGAAAATGAAAATATGCCCTCTATTAGGCCAGATTTCTGACTATTTAAATAGCATTTTTTAATAAATGGCCACTTGATAAGTTTGGCACTTTAAAATATAATGTCTTTTCAACAGTAATACTTTAATATAAATCATTAGCCATATAGTACTTTGTGCAGACCACACACAAAAGGTTGGAACCTGTTATGATTTATGAAATTATTCCAGAGAAACTTAACAGTTGTTTGTGTCTTAGGTCATGATAGGAAGACAAGTGAAAAAGCTTTGCCAGACAGCTTAACATGTTAGAGCACTTAGAAAAGGTAGACTGGGATTGGGGTGAATATAGAATTTGTCCAACACACTAAGCAGGAAGTGGGTCACTAGTGAAGTGGGAAGTGGTCAAACTGCACATTTCCCAGGTACTCCCAACTTCCTTCATTTTGGAGAGCATTTTTCCTAGCAGAAGGTACATGAAGAACAAAACAGATCACTCATTTTGTAGCTATTTTTGAAACTTGGATCTCTGAAAGAGTCTTAATAATTCTTATATATGTATACTTCCAAGACAATCAAATACATTGTGTGAATTTTAGTGAAGTCAGTGATGAGTATTATTAGGGGACCGCGGGTATGAGAATTCTGGTTGTCTGAAATGTGGCTTTGGCCCCTAGTTCTCCTTTGTCATCACCCACACCCATAAATATCCGTAAATATTTGTACAGACAACTGTAGATGTATGGCTTACTCCTAAAACACAAATGAGTTGAACCTGTTTTTAAAAAAATCTACTTATTCTAATTTGTTATACACGACAGCAGAATGCATTTCAATTCATAGTATACATATGGAGCACAATTTTTCATTTCTTTAGTGGTACACAAAATAGAGTCACACCATTCATGTCTTCACACATGTACCTAGGGTAATGATGTCCATTTCATCCCACCATCTTTCCTGCCCCTCTGCCCCCTCCCTTTCCCTCCCTCTGTTTTGCCCTGTCTAAAGACCCTCCATTCCTCCCATGCTTCCTGCCCCCATCCCCATTATGGATCAGCATCCTCATATCAGAGAAAACATTCAGCCTTTGGTTTTTTGGGATTGGCTTACTTCACTTAGCATGATTGAGTAATATTTCATTATGTATATAGACCACAGTTTATTTATTTATCTATTGAAGGACATCTAGGTTGGTTCTACAATTTAGCTATTGTGAATTGTGCTGCTATAAACATTGATGTGGCTGCATCACTGTAGTATGCTGTTTTTGAGTACTTTGGGTATAAACTGAGGAGTGCGATACCTCGGTCATATGGTGGTTCCATTCCAAGTTTTCCAAGGAATCTCCATACTGCTATTCATATTGGTTGCACCAGTTTGCAGTCCCACCAACAGTGTATGAGTGTGCCTTTTTCCCCACATCCTTGCCAACACTTATTATTGTTTGTATTAGTGATAGCTGCCATTCTGATTGGAATGAGATGAAATCTTAGAGTAGTTTTGATTTGCATTTCTCTAATTGCTGGAGATATTGAACATTTTTTCATATATTTGTTGATCAATTGTATATCATCTGAGAAGTGTCTGTTCAGTTCCTTAGCCCATTTATTGATTGGATTGTTTGTTTGTTTTTGGTACATCAGTGACAAATCCTCTGAAAGAGAAGCTAGGAAAACTACCCCATTTACAATAGCCTCAAAAAAATAAAATACTTGGGAATCAATGAGAGGTGAAAGACCTCTACAATGAACAATTTACAGAATTGTAAAGAGAGGAATTAAAGAAGACCTTAGAAGACAGAAAGATCTCCCTTATTCTTGAATAGGCAGAATTAATATTGTCGAAATAACCATACTACCAAAAGCACTATACAGATTTAATGCAACTCCAATCAAAATCCCAGTGGCATTCCTCATAGAAATAGAAAAAGCAATCATTAAATTCATCTGGAAAAATAAGAGACCCAAAATAGCCAAAGCAATCCTCAGTAAATAGACTAAAACAGGTAGCATCACTATACCAGAACTTAAACTATGCTACAGAGCTAAAGTAACAAAAATTGCATGGTATTGGCACCAAAATAGACCAATGGTACAGAATAGAGGACACAGAGACAAACCCATATAAATACAGTTATATCATACTAGACAAAGGCACCAAAAACATATATTGGAGAAAAGATAGCCTCTTCAACAAATGGTTCCGGGAAAACTGGAAATCCATATGCAGCGAAATGAAATTAAGCCCCTCTCTCTCTCACCATGCACAAAACTCAACTTAAAGTGGGTCAAAGACCTAGGAATTAGACCAGAGACCCTGCACCTAATAGAAGAAAAAGTAGGCCCAAATCTTCATCATGTCAGATTAGGCCCTGAATTTCTTAACAAGATGCCTATAGCATGAGAAATAAAATCAAGAATAAATAAATAGGATGGATTCAAACTAAAAAGCTTCTTAGCAAAAGAAACCATCAGTGAGGTGAAGAGAGCTTACAGAATGGAAGCAAATTTTTACCACACACACATCAGATAGAGCACTAATTTCCGGGAAAAATAAAGAACTCAAAAAACTTAACACCAAAAAAACCCCAAACAATACAGTTAACAAATGGGCTAAGGAACTGAACAGAGTTGAACCTTTTTATTGTTAAAAATACAGCTAGTTCATATGCTGCATTTGCCTTGGTATGGGTCTTGCTTGATGCTTTTTCATTTTCATTAATTCTTCCCAGTAAGTTAGTAATACTGAGTCAATAGAAAGGTTTTCTAAAACTCCAAGTGAAACATTTGGATGTACTTTCATTTATTTACACATCTGGGAAAATAGCTTTTTTCTGAGTGTGTGTTTAACTTATTCCATGAACAGAGCAGCACTTCTTAACCCAGCTCCAGGAGCTTGGAATATTATCTTTAACTCCTGCCCGGATGGTGTTTGGAGAAAGAATTGCTTCTCATGATGACAGGTATGAAAGGCCATTTTCCTTTCTAAGGTGGGAGTGGGGTGGTGAGGAACCAGCCACCTGTTCCTTTGGACAGATGCACACTCTCAAAGGACTTGAGTTGCTTGACTCAGGTTTGAGGATTTTAATATTCATGACCATTAAGTTTAGATGCTCAGCCCTGTGTGACGGGCAGGGCTCTGGAGTGTACAGGTTGGGCTTCTGGATTCAGGAAAAGCCTTGAGGTCTTCCAGCCCACCCAGACTAGGCTCTTGCTTGATTTCTATGGTTCTCTGGGTTTTGGAGGACGTGGATACATGTGCTGATTTGTGGCACACTCGCTCAAGCCTTAGTTCCTACTTTTATTAACACCTCTACACAAATATCACCACTTAAATTCATGCCAGTTAGAAATAATTTGTAAAATATTCATTAATAAAGAACTAAATCATGTTTATTTCCAAGGTCTTTTAAGATCTCTGAAACTAATGAGGCTTTTTTTTTTTTAGTGCCCTTTGAATAATTACTGCTAATAACAATTATTGTTAGTTGGCACCTTTAATTCCAGTGATTCCGTTTGTTTCATTGTCTTTGTCTACATTGCCTTAGACATATGTGGTGATCCTGACTTAAGAGATGAAATTTACATTGTCCTTAAAAGTATGCTAACAGGATCCACAGGAGTAATCTCCAGCAATGAAACAGCATTTTCTTTATTGTTTCTTACTTTTTCATCATTGTGTATCTTTTCATAACTTCCATTTGAATGACTCTGTAGTGTAGGCTAAGTAGAATGGCAGGTCTAGCTAGTTCTCTTTTCTTAAATCAAAGCACAAAATAGGAGCCTTTGAATTTAAAAATATATATATACAAGACTGACTGTACCATGCAGCTAGTCTTAGAACCAAAAAACTGTAGTTTATTTGCTAAAAGGCTGAATAGTGATTCCACAGGCTTGTCACCTCTAATTCATTCTCTCCTCCGGTTCTTGTTCATTCTTATTACCATTGTTTAGTGATAATATAATTTTTCTAGAAAAATGTATAAACTGTTTTTTAAAACTAGATTTTATGAAGAATAGTTCTTTTATAACAACACTAATAATTTTACAGTTCTTCATTTCTAACTGATCTTCAGTTGACTGGGGCATAACTTTTCTAGCCTTGGTTGAATTCTTTGGTCATTTCCTAAGAAGAAATTTTTTATTTTCTTATAACATGGCTTCTCTAAGCCAGGGATGCCTGTTTGCTCATTTTAAACTCTTATATTACCATAGGTTTCTGCTACACTTAGCGGACAAAACTGGTGGCATAATTGTAACAAATGATAACTTCAGAGAATTTGTGACTGAGTCAGTCTCTTGGCGAGAAATTATTACAAAAAGGTAATATTTTCGTCTTTGTTTTTAGTTAGAAAAGTTTTTTGTTATTGTTTGTTGTTTTTGTTTGCATTTTGTCTGTCCACTGTGTACATTGGTCCTGCAAAAGACTCTTCTATACCCCGTCTACAAGGTCGTTGGCCCCCTTTTCAAAGCCTCAGAACCAGTGAGTGGTGTGTCAGGGCCCACTGTGTTTGTCCACATGGTGTCCTCTGAGAGATCAGTGTTCTCAGGCATGAAATGAGGTATAGTTTTGTGGCATGATGGAGTACAAGGGCACTTCCCTCTTGCCTTGGCAGAATTTGTCAGGCCATGAGGCCTTCCTCAGTTACTTAGCTGTGAAGTGAAAGGTTGGATTTCATGACAACTGAGATCTCACCTCTGAAATACTGTGATTCCAGCAAGAGGATGGGACCAAAAGCAATATACTGATTGGGGTTTTACTTCTTACGGGTAGGGGAGAATATTTCTACTTTTCATATCTGATGCTTTTCAAGAGCTTTTTTATAGTCATCTATACTAAAAACATGTTTAGATCCATATATAAAAATAACAAAGTTAAGAATTTAGCATTCACTGCTATAATTTTTCATTTGTATTGATACTGTGATTGTCCAACTACTGAAAACTGCCTTAAGATCAGCAAACACTGCAGGGCTTGGTGGCGCATGCCTCTAATCCCAGCAGCTTAAGAGGCTGAGGCAGGAGGATCACGAGTTCAAAGCCAACCTCAGCAACTTAGCAAGGCCCTAAGCAACTCTGCAAGATCCAGTCTCTAAATAAAACATTAAAAAGGCTGGGGATGTGGCTCAATGGCAAAGCACCCATAGGTTCAATTCCTGTACCAAAATAAAAACCAAAAACAAACCCAGCAGACTGAAGCTTCCAAGACTTTTTATTAACATGCATCCTCTGTCCAGTTACTTAAAACAAAAGGCAAGAGTCTGCTCTCATACCAGGGATAAAGTCAGATAGCCCACAAATCTTAAGACATGAGATGAATGTACCTCGAGCCAAATGTATCTGGTAAGTAGTGTAACTAGACATTTGTCTCTATTGAAGTTTCACAATTGCCTCTAATCTGATATATTTTGCTAAATCATTAGAGGATTTTAGAAAAAGCTTTGCTATAAATGAGTATATAGCATTTTGACCCATATGCTGTTAAAAAACTTTTGGTGATAACTGAACCAAGAATGAGCCTTAGCATTTTATGCAATTTATGAGCATACATTAATCTTCTAGGACACGTTTCTGTAGGATCTTTGCCCTGGGGCTCCTTGTCAGTATTAGACACACCTGTTACTTGTTGGCAACTTTAAATGAGACTCAATACAACTTCTGTTCAGAATTTGCAAAAGCAAACCAGAAACTGAGATCTGGATATACGTACACACATATACAAACATACATAAATACCTAAATCTGGACAACAAACATAGGCTCTTAATTTTGTTTATTTTTTGGTGGTCTAGGAATTAAACCCAGAGCCTAATACATTATAGGTAAAAGCACTCTTCTACTGAGCTACATCTTCAGTCCTTTCCCATAGTTGGTAAGTAATGCTTAATGACTAGATTTTCTTTATATATTGCATTGTTTTAAAAAAGGTTATTTGCAGTAGGTTTGCCTATGGATGCATGTATTTCCATTTTCATTAAAAAGTTAAATCTTTGTCGATCACCTTCTGGGTCCAAAGTCTTTACATCTTGTTTCTCTAAGTTATATTAGAAAAAGAAGCTGCTTCCCAAACCCAGAGAAATATCTAAATTGCAAAATTTCTAGCACTGCTGAATTTGTGTTCAAAATAGAAATTAAAATAGTATAATTTGAGTATAGGTTTTTTTCCTTTGAAGGCAGTAAAGCAGTCTTAGAATTTATAGGCTGATCATTCCTTTGCAGTTGGGTGAAAACTTTTGAGATAATCTGAGATGCTGTAGCCATAAAGAATTAGTGTTTTTTTTCAGTGTGTGATTTTTCTGTGTTGTAGATTGCTTCAGTATACATTCGTGGGGGACATATTTATGGTTCCTGATGATCCTCTTGGAAGAAGTGGACCTCGATTAGAAGAATTTCTTCGGAAAGAGGTCTTTCTTAGGTATTTAGTCTATCTTATGTTTAAAAGTTTATTTCATTTAAATTTTTTGTGCGATATTCAAGTGCTATCTTTGAAAGACTAGAAGTGTAAAAGTGGTATTATAATCTTTATTTTGTGATACTGGAGATAGAACCCAAGGCCACTTTACCCTTGTCCTATATTCCCCAGTCACTCTTTTTTTTTAATTTTAAGTTGCTGACCTTGAACTTGAACTCCTGTCAGTTTATTATGTTTATGTTAATGTATTTACTGTTCAAGAATCACTACCTGGGGGAACTGACAGTTACTTTTTACCATCTCCAGTATTAAATTTTTCTGAAATTGTTTAGTAGTTTCAGGGTTGTTTTTTGTTTTTGTTTTGTTAAGTTTAGGTTTTGTTTTTAAGGAAAATAGTGATTGGTAGTGCTAATGGTTATTTCTGTTTTCAGAATTCTCAGGTAACAGATGTTAATCAGTCTTTTATGGGCCCAAATGGCAGATCATATAATATGGTGACAGACCTCTTTTCTTTTTAAACCAAAATTAGTTATTCTTCTGTGTATCTCCCAGCAGATGTTTGCATAAGAGTGTTCTGGAAGTCTCTAGAGAGGAAAACACTGCTCTCCCTGGTTTTTGTTGTTGTTGTTTGTTTTGGTATTGGGTCAAACCCAGGGACATTTTGTCACTGAGCTACATTCTCAGCCCTTTTCATTTTTTATGTTGAGACAGTGTCTTCACTAAGTTGCTGAGACTGTCCTCAAAGTTGAAATCCTCCTGTCTCAGCCTCCTGAGTTGCTGGGATTACAGGCATGAATCACCATACCTGGCTGCTTTCCCAGTAAAACTTCACAGCTGATCTTTGCCATTTATAACATGAGCTTTTGGGGCTCCAGGTTTGGACTTGGTAGTGGTTAAGGGAGTTCACACAGAGGTATTATCTTCTACAGAGACCAGCACAGTTTAAGTCCCCTGATAGATCATTTCTCTTTGAGTGTTGGGTTTTATTATGCAAATGAGGGCTTAGTTCCCAAGGGTCATGCACTCTTCCCACAACAGGAGGATGGCAGCCATTTCCAACACCTGCTGCATGTCAGCCCATCTCACTAACCCCTGCCCCAAGACCTGTGTGTGAGTCCAGGGCCTGTGGTTCAGACGGAACAGAGGGAGAGTTCTCTCTGCTTCCTCATTGTGTCCTTTTATCTCTTACCCAATGATTCTTTGTAAAGGTGGTAAGTAATTGATAGTCTCTTCCTTCCTGAAGGGACTACTTTTTAAGTTATTTGAGTTTTTTAAATTAGGAAAACTGTTGAGCCAGTCCCATTTCTAGACTGCAAGCCAGTGTCAGGTGGAAGATTTTGAAACAATACAGATGCCCTCTCTGTACCCCCACATTCCCCCATATCCATCTGCATCAGGTTGTGGGCACCATTATAGTGCCTCACCTGTTATTTGGTGGGGAGGGGGAACCATGAGCCTGAGGTAGCTACCTTTCTACCCAAAGGGGCTCCTTTTTCTAATTCAGAATCATACTCTCCAGAATAGAAGGACACTGTAGTCCCTATTTTTTAAAAAATTCTCCCACGAATACACTGGTTTACTGCCAAAACAGGTGGATAAGGTCAGCCCTCAGACAGCAGGCCTGGGACGAATCTAGCTCATCCCCTGTCCTTACCAGTCTAGAGATGGGTATCAGTGAAAATCCCCGGGGCTCCCCTGTGGTTGCTGATATCGCTGCCTCCATGGCAGTCTGGTATCTTCCCTATTAAGCAGAGAGTGGCATCTTAAGGATCAGGGTTTGGATCAGCAGCACATGCTGTAGAGGGGTTTCTTGTTTATGTTGTAACTACTCTCACCAAGACTCACTTCATTCACAGAGATATGCAACCCCTGCTCAACGCCCTGCCGAACGTGGGCATGTTTGACCCCAGCTTCAGGATTCCTGGCACCCAGGCAGCCAGCACCAGCCACCAGCCTCCAGGCCGGATTCAGGGAGCCTCTCCAAGCCACTGGCTTCCTCAGCAGTCCCACTTTCCACTCCTGCCAAACCTGCCCAGTGTCCCGCAGAACCTGCCCATGCCAGCACAGAGGTCTTCTGCAGAAACCAGCGAGCTAAGGGAAGCCCTGCTGAAGATCTTTCCTGATTCTGAGCAAAGACTGAAAATCGACCAGATCTTGGTAGCCCATCCATACATGAAAGATCTAAATGCGCTCTCTGCCATGGTGTTAGATTGAAGACTGTGCTGAGAAGCTTGAGCTCATGGCCAAGGGATCAAACTTGAGCTAATGGTTATACGTGATGGGAAGTACCATAATGTGAAAACCTGTTTCCCAGTGTAAACATTGTTGTAGTGTATAGAGAAAGAGAAAAAAAGAAAAGGAAAAAAAAAAAAGATGTTTTGTGTATAAAAAAATCTGGGTTTTCAAAACCAGCTTTTTTTCTATATATAAATTATGCTGCTATTACAGATTTAACATTTTCTGTAAAAGGAAAGTCTACATTTTCTGCCTGTTCAGAACTGTTTAATAGCAGTTACTCTTGAGTGTATTTACATTTTTATGTTTTTTAAACTATTTTCCTTAAATCTAAAGATATTGACAAATGGATATGATTAGCATTTCTAAATAAAAAGAGTTGCTTTCTTAAGGAAAGCAAGACCTCTTAAAGTATATTTTCTTGAGGTGAATATATCCTGTCCACTAACATGGAGTGTGCTCCCCTCTCCTGCCGCCTCTGCCCTCCCCTGGGAGTTGGGGTTGGTTTCCTCCTACGGGGTCTTTTGTCGGAGCCATTTGTGAGAGTGGACAAGTGGTGCCACTAGATGGCACTTTGTGCTTAGCCATTGTTTATGACCAGGGCAAAGTTAGACTCACAGAATATTGGGGCTAGAAGAAGCTTGAGAGCTAGTGTGGTCTCGCCTTTCTTCCCTTTCCACCCTACAGAGGAAGCAGCTGAGGCCCAGAGTGCTCACCGTCAGGACATGCCCACAGCCACTGCCACAGAGCAGCCAGGCAGGGGCAGACTGCTCATCCAGCGCCGTGACACACTCACCTCACCTGGGCCTCCATATACCTACTTGGCTCTCGAAGTCTTGTCTTTGCCTCAGAAGACCTCACCAGGGTCTGAGATGTTTATTGAAGGACCCAATATTTGTGGCCAGCTTTTGGCCCTAACCATGGAAGAACATGTGGAGTTTGTACTGCTTTGCCAAAAAAAGTTTCTATTCTCGAGAATGACCCCAGCCAATAAATAGCATTAGTAGCCTCTGTGGGGCCCAGAGCCCCTCAGTTTATTTTTATGTGTTCTTCTCTTTGGTATCCTGCTAGCAGCTCTTCCTGTGAGTCTTTCCCAGAGCTAATTTATCTTAGTATTGTCTGTTTTCAGTGTTGCTCAAAATTGTCAGTGAAATTCCTTTCTGGTATAATTCTTAACATCTTTACTATTACTGGACCTTCGAAGGGCTTTGTCTTATATCTGCATTCTCCCTGGGCTGCTCTCAGTCAGTTTCATGTCCAGCCTATAGCTCGTGTCTCTCTTCCACCCAGAAATAGTGGCTGAGGGCTTGCTGCTGGTGTTCATGGTGTGGGACCTGGGTGGCATTCTTCGAGAGAAGAACCCAGAACCCTCCAGGTGGCCAGACTTGTATTTCAATTATGTTTTTGCCCAGATGCCTTGACAGTGCCTCATAATGCAAAAGTAGTTGTCATCTGTCACTTTGGACAGGTTGCCAATTCAGCCAGCTGTGGAAGTAGAGGCAGGAGACTTGAAGTGAGCCAGGGAAGTGACTTTAGTCACAGTCACCTATGCCTCAGCTTCACAGCTGGTTGTTTCCAGAAGCACAGCAGAGGTGGGAGGGCTGAGGCCAGCTGTTGACTCTTACCTCCAGGCTCAGGATTTAGTCCAACATGTCACCAACCCCTTTATTTCTCTTCCATGTTAGAAAAGTGACACAGGAGACTCATCTCGATTGCCAGGGCTAAGCTTCCACTAATGTCAGGTGGAGTTGGCTAGGCTGAGAGGGTCATGAATTTTCTAGGCTCTAGAAGCAATTTGAACTTGACCTTTGAGTTCTGTAAGCCTTTGTGTTCTTGGTATTGGGTTTTTTTTTTTGGGTGGGTGAGGATACTGAAGATAACCCAGAGGCACTCTGTACCAATGTACATTCCCAGTCCTTATTTGTTTTTGAGACAGGGTCTTGCTAGGTTGTCGAGGATGGCTTCAAACTTGTGATCCTTCTGCCTCAGCATCCTGAGTCGCTGGGATTATAGGCATGTACCACTGTCCCAGACTCCCCCCGCCCCCCAGGGTCTTGAACACACAAGGCAAGTGCTGTACCACTTAGCTACATCCCCAGCTCTTTTTGAGAGCAGTCTTGCTAAATTGCCCAGGCAGTCCTCATACTTTTGATTCTCCTGCCTCAATCTCCCTGATAGCTGGGATTATAGATGTTTGCCACAGGGACTTAGTATTGTTTCTGAGAGATCTACATGCCCTCTTCCCTTTTCTTGAATATGGGAGGGGAGAAGAGGAAGTGGGAAGAGTACAGAAATGCATTATATTGTAAATTATAACATGAAATATAATTCATGTTTGTTTTTCTGAAATTAATTCATGCTTATTTAAGTTAAATATTTAAAACCCCATTAAGAAAACCAGTATCAAACCATTAAAGAAAGCTCATGACCTGTTAGCCACTTCCTCTCAACTGGGTTCTGTTGCTTAGAGACTTGTAGATGCTCTACCTCCTGTGTAGATTTCTCCCACCTGTGACTTTAGGAGTGCCAGCAGGAGCACTTCCTTGTAATTGTAATTCCTTCTTGGTTTTACATGGAGTGGCTCTGCCTTCTGTGTGTCGTGGCATTTATGCAAGGTGGCTGGTGGGGCAGAGTATGTCTCTTATTCAGCCCACAAAGTGTCTGATGCTCAGAGCGATTGTCCAGGTCAAAGCCCAAGTAGCTGGTGGAGCTGATTGATTCCTGACCCTGTATTTTCTCCTAGGCCCCAGATACCATCTCTGGGAATAAAAAAAAGACAATCTATCAAATGGCATGTGTTGAGACCCTAAAGTTTGCCAGTCAGGAGTATCAAGTGCGCATCGGCCATCCTTGGTGAAGGGCCAGCATTGTTGAACAGGCTCAGCTCTGTTGCCAGGGACTCTTGCCGGGGTGCAGCTTTTGGAATAGAGTCACTTTTGTAGACTTGTTGTGGCATTTGTGGAATGTGAAGGGGGACTCGATGGTGTACACATGGAAACCCAGGCTCTCCATAATGCTCTTCTGACCCCTGCCACACGCCCCATGGCTCCCCCCAAGCGGGCAGTCATTCCAGGCACTAGCCCACCTCGGATCCCAGCCTGCGCCCCTCACTTCTGCGGTGTGGTCTTCCATTGGGAATCTCTTCTCACCTCCATCTCTCATCAGTGCTTCCTCATCCTCACCTGTGCGTTCCTCCAGTGTCTCTGAACAATCCTAATTTGTTCAGTTACTCTGCTTACCTCCATTTCTTTTTTTTCTCCAACTTCTTTTTTTATTATCTACCTCCCCATTATTCTCCACGTATTTCTGATCCTTTAGATTAAAATAAATAGCTGGAGTGTCTGAGGAGTCATGTTCATTCCTTGTTGATGCTTCTCTCAACTTCCCATTCTCTAATCCTGGGTTGCAAACTTCGTTTCTGCCCCATCACTCGAAAGTAGTCCAGGAAGAACCTCCAGGGCTACGAGATTGAAAGTCCAGAGGCCTCTTCTCAGTTCTTCATCTTGATATGTACACTCAACCACCCAACATCTGATACCATTGGCCTTATTTTCCACGTTTTCCCTTTTTAGACAGTCTTCATTCCTTTTCTTTTACCTAAAGACCAACCCTTAATACGTTCTCTTTGTCTTACAGGTGATTCTCAACCTTTGGGCCACCTATGAGGCTCTCCTTGAAAAAGCAGATTGTGCCTGGAGATGTAGTTCAGTGGTATCAGGCTTTCCTAGCATGCACGAGGCCCTGGGTTCAATCCTCAGCACTGAAGAAAGTTAAAAGTGCAGATTATTGGGCTCCACCCCGAGGTGTAGACTCAGTGGCTGTGGAGGAAAACCTGGGAATCCGCTGCTTTAGGACCACACCCTGATGATTCCTGTTTAAGTGGTCTATGGATCACATTTTGAGAAACTGCATTCACCCTTAGGGGTCACTATTCTGTAACTCCACTCTCCTTCTGTAGCTATTCTTATCCTGTCACCAGCCCTGTGGAATCCTCAAACTCCCTAGACCCTTGTCCTGCATCTGTTGTTCTCTCTCTTTCCCCATGCACTCTCTCTGAGGGCCCTGTGAGGTTGCCCTCTGCTTACCACTGCCTATTAGTCGCTCTCAAGCCCTCTCCAAGGGCATTGGTTCCTGACTGCTCAGCCTACCTCTTTAGTTCCCCCCTCTCCAGAATGCACAGTGTTCCGGGTTTATCTTCCAGAAACCCCCCTCTGGCCACACTCTTACTCTTCAGTGATTTCCCATGTTGTAACCAGAGCACCAAGTTCAGAGCCCGTGGGCCTAGAATTCATGACTGTCTGCCTTCTGGCCATACTTGATTGTCCATTTTGTGTACTGTACCCAGCCACACAGATTTCCTCAGTTCCTGTGGGCTCCTCCTGTGTTGTACCTCTTCTCTGCTAGAAATGCCTTTCTTCCAGATGGCTTCCTCCTCGGAAGCCCATCCTTGCCCGTTCTCTGACTAGAAGCAGCCCCATGGTGTTCTGTGGCCCCACAGCACTTTGTGTCTCGCTTCCAGCACGTGTGGCTCTGGCTGGTGTTGCTGCAGCTGACTGTGTACTGTGTCACCTCCCTCTCTAGACTGTGAGCTCCTCGTGGGCAGGGACCGTCTGTGCTCCCTCTTTGTATTTCTGTGGCACCTAGCACAGTGCCTTGCACTTGATAGGTGCTCAATAAATGTCTGCTCGAGTGAACTGGAGGACGGTGCCTTCTTACTGCGACATCCGGCAGCAGTACTGGGAGGACCTTCAGAAGTGGTGTTCACAAGGGCCAGGAACCCACTGCCCTGCTGCGGCAGGCATGGGGCCGTAGGGGGGCAGCTGCCTGGCTCACTCCATTCTCCCTTTTCTTCAGAGCTTCCCCACACTGTCCTGGGCAGGTGGCATGGCCTGACAACATGCTCAGCACCAGGTACTCCCAGTTTCACTCCAGCCAGCGTCGTGCCTTAGGGTTTCCCCTGGTGAAAGCCATGGGATGCCTTGCCCACGTCTGCCATGGGAGTGGCTGATCCTTGGGAGGAAGGAAGCAGAAACATTCCTGGCATGGAGAGCTCCAGGTTCTCATCAAGGAAGCCCTTCCTCAGATGTCACCATGCCCAGTGTTGTAACACATTTCCTTTTCTGCTAATTCACACCAGACTTACATCCCCAAAATCAAGAGTCTACCTTGAGTAAAACACGTGTCCACGTTCAATGGGAGAGGTCCGGCTTCTGTTTAGAAAGGTGCCATACAGCACTTAGGGGTGGTCACCCCAGTCAGAAAATGTCAGAGCCCTATAATTCCTGAGTACACATCCCCTCAGAAGAGAGCCCCCCCACCCCCACCCCGTGGAGCAGCCTGTTTCCTGCTACTGTCTCTGCTCACATCCACTTCCTCTCAGGGCTCTAAATCCCCGTTATGAAGTTCTTTGCTCATCAACTGGGCAGAGACCAGCCTGGTGTCTTGGAATTTGACGTCCCTGTACACTTGAGTTTACCCCATCAGTAAAATAAGCTTAAGATAAGCCTTCTTCAAGGTCCTGGGAGGAACGTGTGTTGGGATCTCTGAGGCACCTTTAATGGTGCCTGGCGTAGAGCCATTGGTGAATGTACTCCTGTGGACACACGTAACTGCCTACCGTTGCTCCCTCCCGTCTGTGCTGACAAAAGCCCAGATACAGATCTTCAGGGTGTGATGTGGTCCTCTGATCTCGCCCACCACCAGAAGAGTGGACCTGGATGAGGACACACAGGTTAGTACCTTTTTCAGAGCTTCAACAGGGCCCCAGGAAGCCCAGCTGAGGCCTAGAGAGGCCTTTATTCCTTAAAGTGGGCTGGCATGAGGATCACCCCGCAGGTGTCATTGCTAGAGGACAGTGGGCAGAGTCGCCACGTTCGGGCATGCTGCTCCCCATGCTGAGTGCTGAGCGCCCACCATGTACCCCAACATGGGTTTTTCTCAATGCTCTCAGCAGTGCTCTGGGGTGGGCTGTTATCTCCACTTTGTACAGAGAAAACCCGAGGTATAGAAGGGCTAGGAACTTGAGTTCTCGAAATTCCTTCCACCTCCCCAAAAGGCCAATCTCCTTTCCTCCAGAGGTGACTCTACGGCCAGATGGTGTATAAGATGGCCCTCCTTTACCCCGTGAAAAGAATGGAGGGCCATGACAGGCCTGGGTCAAGGTTGCCCGCCTGCTGGCTGAGGGAGGCTGAGGAAGGAAGCCGCCTCCCACCTTCCTGAGCAATGGGGCCTGTCCAACCCTGTTCCCGTGGGAGAATGCCAAGAACACATTCTTACAAAGAAAAAGTTGACCAGGGCTACAGAAGCCGGTAGGAGGAGGCCCAGCAGGCATCATGCCCACCTTCCACTTCATTTATGGACACGCGATCAGTAACCGGGCTCTTGATGGGTTTTGAAAACTCAAAGCAGCCTTTTTCGTTCCAGTCCTCTTTTGACACCTGTGGTGCCAGGATGGGGGGCGTTTGCTGGGGAATCTGAAGTTGGACAGGCAGGGATTTGCCCAGAATCAGGGCAGAATTCCACAGCAAGTGCTGGAGACTTAAGCCAAGTGGGCTTGAATCAGCCCCCTCCCACCACCTCCGGCTTGGTGGCTTTAGCGCCCAGAGTCACAGGACTCCAAACCACAGACTACACACAGCCTTTGGGGCTTTCCTTAACCACTACCCCCCTGGTCCCCAGGGAGCCATGCTGGGCCCCACAGCCTGAAACCCAGGCTGGGGTCAGGCCTGGGCAGGCCCTGCCCTTCCCACTCCCTGCCCCCAGCAGAGGAGGCAGCCTGAGGAAAGAATGTGCTTGTCTGCCTGCTTGTCTGGCTCCCGGATCAGTCTAGGGTTTCAGTCACCAAAAAAGGCAGCAGGAAGAAGACCTCCGGCAGCTGGCCCCAGGGACATGGCTTTACTCACTGAATCCCCATCCACCATCTCCTGAGGCTGCAGGTCCCCTAGCCTCACAAGCGCCCCACACCTCTGAACAGGGCTGGGCATGCTGCTCATTCCTGAGGCTCAATCAGTAAGCGACGGAGGTAGGGCTGGGGTCCCAAACACCTACTTCCTCTCTGGAGGCTTCTGCTTTCCTGGCCCCTCTATGATTCCTTCCCCGCCCCCCCCCCCCCCCCCCCGTTCTTGAGCAGACATGTGCAGGGGACAGTGCTGGGGGATGGGAGGAAAGAGCCAGAATGGCCCTTGTTCTGAAGGCTTATCCGTGCTCACCAACGCCTGGGTTGAGCACGTGGGCCTTGCTCTGATATCTAGGGCTATGTGACCTTGAGAAAGTTATTCAGCCTTCCAAGGCCACAGTTTCCTCATCTGTTGATGAAATTGATGGCACTGTTCCTAGAGCTGGTGGTTTTCAGTCCTTACTACTTGAGTCACTGCCAGGAGAGCTTTTCCAGTATTCAAGCCCAGCCCACGCCACAGCCCAGTGCCATCTAAACCTCACATCTGTCCCTATTTTCAGTCAGTCCCCATTTATACCAGTGTGTCCTCAAGGTGGAGAACCACTGCTCCACTAAAGAACTGTTGCAACCCAAACTGAACCCCAAGTCATGGGCCTGTGCCCCAGGAGAGTCCCTCCCTTTGCTGATGTCCCATCATTAGGAAGGTGCCTTTGCACCTGGAAAGCCTGTCATTCCTTAGAATGCAGAAGACTCCACAGCCATCCCTAAAGGCCTCATCCGTTCTTTGGTCCTTTTCAAATCCAAGACCTTGCAGAAGCAGATCACAGCGGGGAGCCCTGAGCCCCGGAGCCCAAAGACCTTTCCAGCTCCCCGCTTTCTTTCCACAGTGCCTGGTCCAGCTGTGTGTCCTCACTTTCTGAAAGAAGCCAACTCTAATGATATCTGGGGACAATCTCTGAAGGAGGGAAGTGGCTGGCATCTGCTGAGCACACAGACTTTTTTCCATCAAACCAGAGCCTTCAAACTGCCCCACCATACCCTACCCCCCCCAGACAGCAGCCACTACAGGTCTGGAGTCCTGGGGCACTGTGGAGAGGTGTCTCCCCCACTCTGGAGAAGGGCAGGAGAAGATTTCCAAGTAGATAATTCTTTCATAGTTTGTACAGAGGCCCTGATGGCTTGAGTTGCCTACAACCACAGGCAGTTAGGTGAGGCGACACTGGAATCCAGATCTTATTCCCACCTGTTCTTTCCACTGCCTCCCCAGATGGGGGGGTCTCTTCCCTGGGAGAGTTTTCCCATTGTCAGATGCCTCTGGGTGTGTCCCTGAGGCCGGGACCGTCACATACCTGCAGAAGTGGGGTGGGGAGAGTGACGTCACGCGTTCGTCCTGGACCCCTGGCTCTGAGGGCACCGGGAGATCCTTGACCACCACAGAAGTGGGTGTCTGCAGAAGTAGTAGTGTCCACCCCAACATTCTAGCAAGCTTGGATTATTTTGCTACCTTCAGGCCTGAACCATCCTGGAGGCTTGGTACCCCTGTCCCTGTTCCAGGTGACCACAAGGAAAATCTACAGCATGGGGCCAGGACCAGGGCTGAGAATCGGCCCCGATGTGAAATGACTTTAAGACATGTTCCTTGACCCTACTCCAGCTCCACAGCCACCTTCAAGACTGGAGATCCAGGCCCCATCTGTCTGGTGTCAGGTTCCCCACCCCCCCAGGGACCCCTCAGTCCCTCTAGAGCTGCTCACCAACCTCCTATTTGAGTCCACCTCCACAACAGCCCAGTGGGGAAGGCAGAAATGGTTATCTCCCAAGAGCCATTTGTGGTCAGCAAAGTCAAAGCCTGTATCCAGGTCTCCACATTCAGAGAACGCACTCTTTCCCTCCCCTGAATGGTTCAGGAAACCACAGCGGGGGCCCATTCATTCATTCATTCATTCACTATTCTCACCTCTGTTCAAACCTTCCAAAGGCAAGATGTCTGGTGGGGCACACCCTGTGGGAGGCTGGGCACAGAGACCAGGGACTGAAGAGTAAATGGGGTGAATGGGCAAGAGTCCAGCTGGATCCCCAGTTCCTGGATGAGCAGGCCGTGGATGAGAGTCCTGGCAGGGGAGCCAGCGTGTGGGAAGGAAGGCCACGGAGTGGGAGCTTTCCAGGGACTCAGGAGTTTTCTGAGGCTGGAGAGGTCAAGGAAGAGGGCCTGACTGTGTTCTGAAGGATGCGTCTGCCTTCTGTCCCTGGGCGGGGGGCCTCAGTGGGAGGCCAGCAGGGTTTGCACTCTGCTTTTTGGAAGCACCTGTCTCTCTGCATCTTGGAGACCACTCCTGATCCAGCCCTCTGACTCCTCTGGAACAGAAGGGCAGCCTGGGTTTCCAGCCAAACCAGCTCATCCCGTGGCATATTGAGGGGTTGGTGGTGTAGGGATGGGGCCTCGGCTGCACAGCTGAGCTCCAAAGCATCAGTTCGGGGAGCCCAACCTGTCAGCAGCATGTGACGGCCCAAGAGTGGCAACCATTACCTGGGACTAAATGATCGGAGATAAATCTTCCCAAAGCCCCCGAGATGGGCTGTCTCCTCAGCAGCTGGCTGTTGCTTGGGTCTCCATTTGTCCCATCCTCCTTGGGTCAGTCAGTCCTGCCACCTGTAACTGCAACGTTCATGACCTTCTCTGGTACCAAGAAAATGCATCTGGTTCCTTGTTAGGAAAAAGCAAAAACAAAAACTGTTGGATTTTTTAGGAGCAAAGATTCATTCGTTGTTCATTTATGACAATATAAATCCTCTAGTCCA